ATGTGTGAGAACTTTTGAACATGACCATCCAGCGAATTTCCAGCCTCTGGCAAATGGGAAAAAGAGAGGTGCAGAAACTTCTGCGTATCTGTCACTGCGATAAACTACCCGGCGTTAATCTTTCCTCGAAAATAAGTCGAAACCAGAGAATGTTTCCAGGGTCCTGTGAACCAGATTATACTGGCTCCCCTGACATTCCCATGACTCACTGCAAGTTCCTACTGTGAAAAATAATAAATAAAACCCGAAAAGCGTCATTTTGACTGGATGAAACAAAAATGGCACAGGTCTTTGATGAGAGACCACTACTCATTGACAATGCATTATTGGCATTTTAATGGCTTCAATTTTTAACACTTGAAACATGGTTTTAATAAATCTGCTGATGTGAGTAACATTCAAAGCATATTCTTAGATCATGAGGATACTACTGTATATGTTGCAAAATTTGAAAAAAAAGTACAAACTTTATCAAGTCAGCAAGAGGAGAAAGTGTTGCAGACGTTGAATGTTAATCAAAGATCAACATCATTAGATCTGGTTAAAAATAAAATTTGTATTTGAAGAAAGTGGAAAGATATGAATTCTTGTTCAATGTAATGAAAAGGAAGGCATGTTTATGCACAGCAGTTACTGCACAGGCAATTGCTTTTTATGCATGCATCAGTCTTGCATCCAGATGATGCAGTTAGATTTATTCAAAATTATTCCCATACAGTAAATACATACAGTTATTACAGTATTATAAAAAATTCAATATATTTTTCTAACTAGTACCTGCACTGTTCTCAGAAGTGTTTAAAATTTTTAATGTGCAGTAAATTGTAAACTTCAATTTTCAGTAGGAGGAAAGGGTGTCCAAAGAACTGCCTAGTGCCTACTACAGTAAAATCCCACTGCAACAAAATTGCAGGGACTCCAGGATTTTTATCATGAATAATTTGTTGTGATGAGATTTTCAAAATGAATCACAGCACACTGAAAAAATCAGGTTAGATTTGCAGATGTGCAGCAGTCTCTTACTTTTCTGTTTTTTCTTTTTTTTTTTTGTGGTTGTATGTTATTGTTTGAGAAATCAAGTGAAATTCTAAATCAATTCCTTTGGTATGAAGATGGCAAAACTTTTCACATGAGCCATACATTTCAGCGTTTTATATCAAAAGGGAATTCAAGGCATTCTTCTTCAAACCCATTCTGTGCGCTGTAATGATTGAGAAAAATCAAATTTACTTAAATAATGTGGCATTACGTTTTTGCCATGAATATGATCCGAAGTAACAAAGCTGTGCTTGACTTATATGGTTGTGAAAAATTTTGTTGAACTGGAATGGGAAAGTCTTTCATAACAAGATTATTTGAACATGTTCCCAGTAGAATTTCTGCTGGATAAGAATAGCTTATTCTTAAAAATGTGTTGAACCTTTTTTGTTATTGTAATCAGCAGACTTCACTGCAGACTGTACTGCTGCTCTCACGTGCGGCTCCAGCGTTACTAGAACAAAGAAAAGAAGATGGGATTGTTTCGTGACTTTCATAGATGTCGCTTTTGAAAGCAAGTAATGCTTGCTTGGTTCATGCACGGGTAGATGGAGGCAGCGGTAAATATGGCTGCCTTCATTAATCTGCTCAAGCGTGCAGTAGAAAAAAAAAAACAGAGCTTATTGTCCCGAACGGGTTTTTGGAATCCTGGCGTGTATGGCTTCTTTGTTCGACCAAGATTTGTGTTGGCAGTTTAAATCCTACTTTTGTTTCTTCTCAAATTATATTGAGGGAACTGTTCGGAATTTTTCTGATGATTTTAAGAAACCTGCTTTCCTACCGCGAGGGTTTTTCCGCCTGTGAATGTACGGTGGATGGTAGTTCGTGAATCCTGACAATTCTTCCGAATTATTTCTAACTTTTCGTGAAATTGAATTTGGAAGAATAGCAAAAGACTGCCAAGAAATTTGTTGGCTTCATTGCCGATCGTGTCGTGAATTCTTGAAGTACCATCCGATAAACGGCATTTCAGCTGCTTCACCAAACATCTGTGTCGTCAGTTTTGGAGTCATGCTATTCGGAGAGAGCCGATTTTTCGAATTCCGAAGTGTGTCCCGATGCAAACTGAAAAATCTGAACCGCGTGGATGCAAAACCAGGGCCCCGCAGTCAGTTTTTCGTACTTAGCGCTGCGAATGAGCTTTCCAAATTCAGCTTCACGTCCCTGGGTGTGTGTTCAAAGTCGGAGATTGAAATAAGCGGAAAAAAACCACGATATTTTTTCAGCTCACTCCATATTCATTACACACCCGTCTTTTTTTGAACTGCGTGAAATCGAGCTCAAGTTGTCCGATGATTTCTGGCTGGTGTGTTGTTCCCTCCATGCGACAGTGCTAAGTTCGTTTTGGTTGCATCTCGACGAAAAAGTGTTGTCGAAGCTGCGTTTACCATGCGATCTTGTCGAGGTAATTCCGTTATTTGGATGTGTGAGAATTTTGAGACTGGTACGTGGAGGAAGAGCTTTTACGATGTGTGCGGTCCGAGAGATGTCTGCAACAGAAAATTTGCGGCGAGAACATATTCTGAAGGGAATTATTCCGGTACTGACTAACTTTTCTGATTTTAATCAGCTACAGGTATTATATAGTTTTGGTCGCAGTGTTTGGAAATGTCGGCGGATTTCGATGTTGACGCGATCCAGGAAGCGGAAATTGAATCCGTTACAGAAGACGTCCCAGATCTGAATTTTCCGGAGCCGATTGTTATCCGAGGATGTGGGAATGTCACTGTGTAAGCAATGACCCGCAATTACGAAGAGCTAAGGCTAAGTTGGGATGATCTTAAATATTTTCTTCCACAGTTTTGGCTTGAGCAACAAATTCGATGACGAGTTTCCTCCTGCGCTTAGTGGAAAGGTACAGAATCTTATAATTCTTCTGGTTGGATTTTTCGACGTTGGATACGTTTTGTTCTTTGCAGGTTGCACCAGAAGAGTTCAAAGGAACAATGTCTCGATTGAACTCAGTGTTGAAGAAAACCCTTCCCATCAACGTAAAATGGCTATTTTGTGGATGTCTTTGTTGCTGTTGCACGCTTGGTTGTTCATTGTGGCCGGTTATTTGCTTGAGCAAACGGGTATGTTTTTTTGTTACCACTATGCAGTACATACGCTAAATGAATATATAGTTTATTTTGACGAATTGCGGAAATGATGGAATAATTATCCTCCAGAGCAAAAATAAATTGCATTTTTCTGAGCCTTTCGGTGAAACTTCGGACTTCGCTTCATAGATCTTCTAGTAGATTTTCTCTGAATGACCGACTTGGGCTGCTAATACGTTTTAATTTAAACTAACTCCTAACAAGAGAAATATTTTTCAGTCTAGATGACATTTATTCAGTGTGTATAATTGTTTGCATCATTGTGTTAATTTGTGATGGCCAGACGAAAAGTTTGCTGGAAAAGGCGATCGAATGGGAAAACACGAATTTGTATCGAAAGCTGGGGCTCAGAATGAAGCTGGATAAGCAGCGTTGCCCGAGCAATGGAAACCTGATGGAATATGTAAGTATGATACCTTGAATTGAGAAAAAAAAACCGAAGCTTTTGTGATGTCTACTTTGAATTCGTGCAAAGAACTTGTTCATTGCTCCACTTCTCTACGTGTTCCAGGTGATACTGATCCAGTTCGTACCAAAACTTTCCATTCATCGCCCGGATTGAATGATTGGACTGTGTGATCTACGATGTGCGATTGCTAGTCTGTCAGGGTCTTTCAGCTTCTCCTCTCGTAGCTGAATGTTGTGTTATGTTTTTTTTAATTAATGGATGTGTGAATTTTGTCGTGAATCTCCACCAGAAACAAGGAATGTTTTTTTGTTGTTATGCAAACTGTTCAAAATTTTTGAAGACCGCTTGCGTTTCACTTTTGATTTTACGGAACGTCATTCATTGATTAGTGGACTTGGGTGATCGATTCTACGAAGCTGAGTCTTGAATTCATTGATGTTCTGAAGTGAAACTTGAAAGATGGCATGCCGAATTTCGGTTCACCATCAGGAAGGAGAAATCTTTTTGTATGCCGGAAAAAGTTTCGGCAGGTATTTTCAAGCTGAAAACATAATTTTGAATAACGTTTTAAAACGCATATGATTTGGGAATATCAAGATTCTTTGAGTCTCAGCTGACTTTCATTATCATGACTGACGTTCGCAAGTGCTTCCATTCAAAAACTTCAGGGTGTTGAAGT